GGATGCTCCCGGCCACCACAGCCTCGACCTGCTGGGCTCCGGCGATCCTTCTGCCTCAGCCTTCCAAGTAGCTGGAATTACAGGCGCGCGATACCACGCCCAGCTAATTTTTTGATTTTTTTTTTTTTTTTTTGAGTTGGAGTCTCACTCGGTCGCCCAGACTGGAGTGCAGTGGCAGCTCCCGGCCACCGCAGCCTCACCTGCTGGGCTCCGGCCATCCTTCCGCCTCAGCCTTCCGAGTAGCCGGAATTACAGGCACGTGCTACCACGCCCAGCTGATTTTTTGATTTATTGTAGAGATGAGGTCTCGCTGCCCAGGCGGGTCTCGAACCCGCGGGCTCAGGCAATCCACTCACCTCAGCCTCCCAAAGGCGCAGGATTACAGGCTGAGCCACCGAGGCCAGCCTATTTGGTTTTTTATAAATAACAACCGTTTTACCTGCCTGATAAAAAATATTAAAAAATAAAACATAAAAAATAAGCTGAGGTGGGTGGGTCACCTGAACCCAGAAGATTAAAAGTGCAGTGAGGTACAATCACACCACTGCACTCCAGCATGGACATCAGAGTGAGACACTGTCTGGAAAATAAAATAAAATTCTGGAAAACACCCTGTAGAAAAGTGCAAATCCTCGTTACTTCCTGTTATTGCATGCTCCCTCTTGTCCCTATGTTCCAATAATCCACCAAAATCCTGTGAGCTAGGTACCAGTATTACCCACCTTTTACAGATGGGCAAACTGAGTCACGGATAAATTGTTTGCCCCAAGATTGCAGGTGAGGACGAGACAGAGCCAGGATTTAACCTCAGCCTGCCTGGTGGTGCTCTGACATCAGCCAGAGTGTCCATCAAGCTGTTCACCTCAGCCACCTAAATGTGTCTCCCTAAGAGGAATTCTTACCCAAAAGGCAGAAATTCAGTTTGAAAATATTTCCCTCTCCAGATAGATAAACGGTAGTAATGTATGTTGGTGGATAACTACGTAGGTAGGTAAACAGATGGTGATCCTGCAGTATTCTGCACCTGGACATAACTCTGGTTTATGTCAAAACTCCACATTCCTGAGACACTGCCCCAGGGAGATAGATAGTCGTAGTCTAGTCCTGAGGCTCCTCCTTGCGGGCACTGGGCAGTACTCTGGGAGTGGGATGGACATGCGGGCCGCGGTCCCTAACCGCTGCGCCTCCTCCCTAAGGCCCCCAGCCCGCGGCATGTGGCTGCCGCGCGTCTCCAGCACAGCAGTAACCGCACTGCTGCTGGCGCAGACCTTCCTGCTCCTCTTCCTGGTCACCCGGCCTGGGCCATCTTCCCCAGCGGGCGGCAAGGAGCGCGTGCACGTGCTGGTGCTGTCCTCGTGGCGCTCGGGCTCCTCCTTCGTGGGCCAGCTCTTCAGCCAGCACCCCGACGTCTTCTACCTGATGGAGCCCGGGTGGCACGTGTGGGCCACCCTGTCCCAGGGCAACGCGCCTGCGCTGCACATGGCCTTGCGCGACCTGGTGCGCTCCGTCTTCCTCTGCGACATGGACGTGTTCGACGCCTACCTGCCTTGGCGCCGCAACCTGTCGGACCTCTTCCAGTGGGCGGTGAGCCGCGCGCTGTGCTCGCCGCCCGCCTGCAGCGCCTTCCCGCGGGGCGCCATCAGCAGCGAGGCCGTGTGCAAGCCGCTGTGCGCACGGCGGCCCTTCAGCCTGGCGCAGGAGGCCTGCCGCTCCTACAGCCACGTGGTGCTCAAGGAGGTGCGCTTCTTCAGCCTGCAGGTGCTCTACCCGCTGCTGAGCGACCCCGCGCTCAACCTGCGCGTCGTGCACCTGGTGCGCGACCCGAGGGCCGTGCTGCGCTCCCGCGAGCAGACGTTCAAGGATCTAGAACGCGGCAGCAGCACCGTGCTGGACGCCAAGGGCAAGCAAGTGGGGAAGGATCTGCAGCTGCGCGTGCTCCGCGAGGTGTGCCGCAGCCACGTGGGCATCGCGGGGGCCGCCACGCTCCAGCC